TACCACATAATACTTTAATAATCTTGTGAAGGACACTTTAATAAGATGGATTCTCCATTTTATAATGCTGCTGGTGTTTTTTCCAGGCTTATCGAGCTATGGTACATTCTTAAGAAAACTAATTTTATCTGGCTCCATCAGAGTCAGCCACTGGTGGATAAAATAGATCGAATGTTATCCGTTTATTTGAATTAAAGGTAGTAAATATTAGTTAAAAGTAATTAGATAACAATGATTAGCAGGCTGAGAATTGATTATTATTAAAATAAAAAGCCTCATACCGTGATCGAATAATTATATAATTTCTTACCTTGTGAAAAAATTTTGTTTTTTGCTTATATCAATATTGATCGAGAAAATGACTGATGATTGTGTGGTTTGCTTAGTCGCAATAATTTCAATATTGATAATTATTTGCCCAATTCTTCGTAAGTTTCTAGTTTTGACGCTGATTCATTCTTCACAATTAATAATTAGAATTCTTTTATTATTCAGAAATTGCTAAAATCGTCGTATTTAATAAAGCTGGATTGCACTTGAGTTGGATTGATTATTTGTAAGGTTTAAATTGTTAAATAAAATTTATCGAATGCTAACATTTGTTAGTAAATAATTTTTTTATAAATTTAGTTATCTGGTTCTCTTAATTGTTCTTATATGTAAGTTATGTTGTACGTACATTATCAACGAAATTGCAAAAATAATCCATAATTAACTATTCGATATATCTACTACGTATTGAAATACAGCTACGGTTATATGTATGCTTTGTCTAGAATGTGAAGCTGCAATTTTCATTATCGGGTATAATATCGACTTAATAATTATTTATTTGTATTTATTTAAATGTTATTACGATAATCATAGTTCTAAATTTCACTTTTTTAAGCTTCTGTATTCTCATTTGGTTTGCGTTTCTATGTAAGTGTTACGTTTAAGTGCCACCAAAAAAAAAAAAACCGGGCTTCGAGCTTTTATTTAATTACATATAATCCGGCGATTATATTTTTCAGAAGCCCCGAAGTCGGTTTCCTTTGATGACACTCATTTATGCTATCAGCTTGTAACTTTTTTTAATCTTTTTAAATTTCATAAAAAAGGTACATATACATCGATTACAAAGAAAGAAATGGATATTCCTTTCCTCTGCCCTTCAAATTACAATTATACTTCACAATTAGTCAAATCTGCATGTCAAATTCGTGCTGCAAATCTAGTTTTTATGTGGGTAGTCGGTACACTTCTTGCACTGCCTCTCTTACTTTCAGTCGGATATGCCGATTTTAATTTATCTTGTTAAAAGCATATAACCCAAGCCTTACTATACAGCAAGTTGTAACAAACAATTTTTTATTACAACTACATTATATTGTATATATTTTATTTTTCATTATATATATAGTGCATATTATTACAAACAGTGTAAATAACATAATATATATATAATTATCATAACAATTATTGACTAAACAACAATAAATATAAATGAGTATCCGTCGGTTGGTTATCCAGATCACGCGACGTGGACGCCGATACTCAGGTGATCCAAAATCAAAAAACTGAAGAAACCAATACACGAAGTGACGCGAAGAGTTGTAACCGCTTTATGTTTCATATGTTCAAACCGATTAAACCAGTTTGAATACATAATAAAAAATAAAAAAGATTTCAAACACTACGTATGGGCGACTGATTTGACAAGCATTGACCAGTCGTGTCACTAGATGAGACCTCTATTAAGTCCCTTCGGAAAAGGTATAATAGTAGTAATAAAAAAAAACAGTAAAAAAAATTATAAAGGAAGCAGTAAAAATCGAAGATAGAAGAAAGCAGTAAAAAAAAAAAAACGAACTAGAAGGAAGCAGCAAAAATGAAAATAGAAGAAAGCAGATAATGCAGTATTGAGATTGATAATTCTTTTTATTGATTTAGATAAATATCGATATTACATCACTATTTAGTCATTATAGATCTACCCGTGATTACCCGTGATTATTAACCACAAATTTTCAGGGGAGACCGTCCCGAGTGCCCCGATCTTGTAGATCGTTACACAATTAATTAAAGATTTTTTTTATACGTTT